AAATGTAGGATATGTCCCCTTTATTGCTATTAACCCCTTACAAGCCACAGTTTTATTACACACTTGTATAACCTAAGAATAGCGCAACCCATTTGCATTGAAGTCGCTGCAGTTACTGAATAATAAGCTTTAGTATGTAATAAGGGGTTAATAGTTTACAATATTTATGCAAGTAAATAAGGACTGATATATACAGTTAACTATTTTTAACATCCTCTTCAAAGAGACAAAATTGCTGACTTTCTTTTCTAACAGCAGGTCAAGCTAATGATAAACTCTCACTAAATCCATTTAGCATAAAGCTTATATGGCTTAGAAAAGCCTGAATAAAGGTTCTAGCAGAGAAAGGCGAAAGGTATAAACACAGAGCTGAAAATCGTTCAGAATTGTTTTGATACTTTAGTATTGTTGAATTCCTCAGCAACTGTCAGAAGTGGGTGTGGCTTGAATCATAAATGAGTGTGAAATGCTGTGAGTGGGTATATTTACTGCCTGTAATGGCCTGCAGACTAATCAACGAGCCCTGATGTTAAGAACATGCATGCAGAATGTAATTTAGAGAGCCAATCAGGAGAAGAGATTTTGGAACAAAAATGATTTGGCTCACGGATGCTACTTGGAAACAGATTGAAGTATTTCTGTCGGTACTATAAAAGTATTACATTCTTTGATCCATGTACAGTTACTGAATTGGGTTTTTTGCACTGTAGAGAAGTATTAGCTAATACTGGCTAATTAAATATAAGACCCGTCACTGAGCCTTCGGTGTGGCAGAGTTTATTTGAAATGCAGTGACGATTAAAAGCAAAAAAGTCTTTGGGTTAATCTGCATTATTTAACTGATTCATTTCAAAGAAGTGCAGATCTACCCAGATTCTTATTCACTTCCCTATTAGCATTACTTTTGCTGGTAAGGGCAATATGACGGTATTAACTGTTATCATTATAAATTAGATGCCAAATGTAAACATAAAATGTTTAAATGTGCTTTTTTGAGCAAACTGTGGACATTAAGGACATCAGTGCCTAAAACACACTTTCCAACTGCATGTTTGATTACAATCAGCATGTCAAAAAACATATCATGAATCGTGAAAACTTTGAGAAATATCATGATATTACTTTTGAAATCTAATAAACTGAAAGAAAGTAGCAGTGAAAATGGAGACTGTCTTCTTGTTGTAGCCTTTTAGCAAAAACTCTGCCAGTTTTGTTAACTAAAATGTTTTGTTTGAATAGATTTAATGAATACTGTTTAAAATAATAATTTCTGAATATGCATGTGGAACAATTTTTAATTTTGTCCACTTTTGGAAAGTTCTGCTAATATTTTAGATGAGTTTGGCTTAGTGATATATTAACTATGTATTATCTGTGTTTAACCTGAGTGTTATATTGATTTGGCTGTGCAAACTGACCAAAAGTTCCCAAAGTTTGTGTTTATTGATCTTAAGAGACAAATAGAAGATACTAAGTACTATAAAAAAGTATTTGAATAAGATAAATTCACTTTTTCAGATTTAAAATCACTTTTTTCAGTGTAATGTATGCAGACACTGGGCTGGTCCAAGTTATCTGAATACTCGAGTACTCATTACTTACACTGGTACTCAGTTCTCTGTTCAGTATTCAGAGGCTTCATCTTTTTTGAGCCTTTAAACCCCAACAGATTTCTTTTCTTGTGACACTTGTGAGTCTTGTGAGATTTTTCAGAGTTAGATCCTCAATAATCTTTGTTTTAAATATAAATTATTGTATCGTAAAACCAGGTAAAAATAACAATTATAAGTTGAGCTCATTTTAAAGGTGTGTCTGACTTCTTTAGTATGAAAACAAAACCATGCAACAGAAATCAACACAGAGCTGTCAGTTCAGGACTGAAGGGGAAACTGAAACTGTAAACCATTGTAAGTATAATATCATCGCTGTCCAATGAAAAACATGCATCTCCATTTTTTGCGGTTTTTACTTTTCTGCATCATTTGAGCTCAGCAGATGTCCTTCACATTGTGTGAAAATTTCATGACCATTGGACCAACAGAAATGCCCCAAAATTATTAGAATAAAATATCTTCCCATTAACTTGCATTGAAAGTAAAGAATGTTTTTGCCCTCTCCTGTAAAGTTACTATTTTGGAGACCTGTTTTTCTTTGGACAGCGACGATATTCAAAATTTATAATAAGAACAGGGACATGAAACAAACCCACTACAGCAACTAATGAAGTTCTTCACCATTATTTCTTAGCAATAAAAATGATAAGAAATCACGACGTCATACCTAAAGCTAAAGGCTCCATAATTAACCTAAGAACTCTCTCCAGCTACAATTTCTCAAGCCTCCCATTATCTTTGAACTAAACTGAACTCAGGACTAAAGTAAGAAATAACCAGCACTGACACAAAGAGACATAACCAAATGAACGACACCCAGCACGAGGACGCTGAGAGAATGCTGTCAGACCCCTGTCTACGTGTCTGAAAAACAAAACAGTGGTGCTGTATGCCTCGTCCTTCCTGGGGGATTCATAGTAAAAACAGATGTTTATGGATGATTCTACAGAATCAGCTCAATCAACATTCCCACAGTTAAAAAAACTATTAAAAAACAATGAAGTATTCAGACCATAGGTATTTACAAGGATTATGTTGTGATCTATTTAAACCCAAGGCATTGATTGAGATAGTACTAAACTAAACCAACTAATCTAAAAAAATCATCATTTATATGATATTTTTATCAGCAGTCAGCTGTCCCAAACACTAACCCCTAAATTTCAACTTGAAATAAGACTTCTTTGTATGTTTTTTTCAATGTGGTTCGATTTCTTTTAAAGTGAAAATGAAAGAACTAAAAAACATTTTTAAAAATGCTGTCCCACATTTTCATGTCACTACCGAAACACAGAGTTTCGATCCAGGGGCGGAGCCTTGTTTTAGCCGCACCCCTGAATTTTAGAGCAGGAAGTGAGGCTGCATCCCTGTCCCTCGTGGCCACATGATGAACAGTTAGATCCCATTGTTTTAAAGTAAATGTGTCCCAAAGTCTGAAAAATGGTGTAACCTGAAGAACTGTCACTACCGAAGCACATATTTTCTGCAGTCGAGTGAAGTTATTTGCATTTTAATTAAATGTGATGATGTTTTGTGTAAGCAACTGTTCAAAGCTGTGTTTGCTAGTCATGTCCTGGCCAGCAGCTCTGAGTTGTGCCCAAAATTAGTGAAAGTTGTCTACTAAAACATTTGGTAAAGTTCTGGAGGCATTATTGTAGTGGTGGTGACAAAATGGAATGGTCAATACTTTAATTAAAAAAATAAACATAATAAAGGTGTAGAGTAAATCAAAGAAAAAGGATTTTTGTCTAAATTCCAAGTCCGACTCTGAACCAATTCGGTAGAATGATCCATATAAAGCCTGCGATCAGCTGAGCTTCAGCCCGACTGCTAATACACTGTTGCTGCCTACTGGACATTTCGCTGTTGTCAGAAGAAAACCTTGTATCTCCATTTTTGACATTTTTTCAGTTTTTGCCATAATTTGAAAATGTTGCTCTTTACATTGTGTGTAAATTTTGTGATGAATGGACTAAAATAAATGACCCAAAATGAAAAAAAAATCTGGTTCCATTGGCTTACATTGAAAGTAAAGTATGTTTTTTGCTTCTCCTGTAAAGTTACCATTTTGGAGATACGAGGTTTTCTTCCGACAGCAGCGAAATGAAGTAACTAACATAGCTAACATCATGGTTAATGATGAAACACAGATATTACTGTTTAAACGGTGATTTTGAAAACAGGAATTTGAGCACTTGTTCACAAATACCAACAAATGCTACCATCCCAACATGTTCACGCTCCTCATGAATAGCTGTCCGCTACAACATCATAATAGCAACATACATATTCATCAGACATACCGAAGATTGTGTTTTTGCAGCAGAAGCATGCAATTAACGGGCAGTACAGGATCTAGTCCCAGCTAAAAAAATCAATAGTGGAGCTTTGAGACTCTGAGACAGAAAACTGACACGGACACACAGCAGTTGGAGGGATCCTCTGGTGAGCTGTCCTTCTGGAAAGAGTGGAGATGCAGCCTGGCTCTATCTGACCTCCAAGACTACCAGCCCGGAGAAGCCACGTCCCCACGGACTGCCACAGGCGGTCGCTTCAAAGAAAGGTTCAGATCAGATCAAATCAACTAAATAAAGCCTCCTCTCTGGTGCCCAAGCTCAAGGACAGGAAAACAACACGATCAAGTGATGTGAGTCCAATTAGAATAATAACACGAACACTGATGAATTACTTAATGAAGTTTAACAAAGACGCTAACCAACCAGCTGAGATTACAATGTAATGCAATTACGGTATACAGCTCTTGGTTATCACTGATGTTGCTGATGTGTGGAACATTCTCTCAAGGGAAGAGTGAAACGCAAATGTGAAGATTGGGGTTTTGGTTTGTGGAACCGCAGAATGAGAGCCTGAAGACGTAAAGCAGGGACATAATCTGTGAGCGGCTGAAAATTTCTGCCAAATGAGCACTGAGCTCATTTCATGCTGACGGACTGAAGAAACGCACCATAACCTGCTGATGGTGTGCCACGCGAACATCATCGCATGCTCAGCGAACGCCTTCTGGTTGTTTTAGCCGCTTAAAAAAAAGAAAGAAAAGCTCTGTCTTCATTTAGCATTATTGTGCTCGTCATGAAGATATACGTTTTTCAAGGGCTTTTTCAAGCAGAGCGGGATTATCACCTCGTTTCTAAGCCTGGATGAGTTGAAGATGAGTTGAAGCGCTGCTAAATAGAGAATCTTAATGGGATAATGTTCACGCCATGCGATAGAAGAATGCATAAGACGCAGCTGCAATAGCTGTGGACTCCTGGCTGAAAGATAAACCCAGTCATTCAGTGAGAAACACATCCTCCTCCACAGGAAACGTCTCAGGCAATACAGAGGAACAGGGTGCTAGAAATCCCCATGCACACGCGCAGGCCTCACCTGTAATGTCGAGTGTCTCTGAGTGCTCTGTTGCTGGGGATCCGCTCACTCTCTCTCTGATTGAAGGCGTACAGGCTATAGGGATCTTGGCCCGGCTTCCATCTGTGAGCACTGAGGTAGTTCTTTTCTTCAAACTCTTCCAGGAGATCATCCCATTCGGTGTCTGAAATCTGGAAAAGCGATATACATCAAATGTAGGGATGCACCAATATAGCATGATACCAAATAAGTAATCATTGATTACTTTTTTACTCAACCATGATATGACAGTTTTTGAAAATATTTACATGATTTTATGTAAACATATAATGTAAATATTTACCAACTGCTTTTATTCAGAGCCATTTGTAATGGTAGGTCAAGGAGTGCGGTTACATGCACTCAATAATCCGATAATAATCGGATTTCTGCAGTTATCTGATCTGATTAGTCAAATGGTCACCATACTCCGATCTAGAAATCAGATTAAGAAATCCGACAAACAGGCTCAGTAATCAGATTTCTCAGTGCATGTAAACTCTTTCTCTGATTCTTTCTCTGATTCGAGAAGTGCTGCTGCGAAGTGCTGCAGCAAACCACTTTTGGAGCAACGGTAAATCCGACTACACGCTTGATGAATTGAAGGATTTAAATATTCTTCATCTTCTGGATGATGTATCTACATATTTTTAGGTAAAGTGGCACAAAGTTTAAAAAAAAGCTGCGGCATGAAGTTTAGGTTTTATGTTACATTTATATCACGTCTTCTTCTGTGAGTTTATTGGCTGGTTGTAAAGCAGAAATCCAACTCAAGCACATATAAATGGTAAAATCTGATTTTCTGCAGTTATCGGATTATTACGTGCATGTAAACACACTCAATGTATTCTTATTACACAAAGTATTCTTAACAGTATAGCAGTGGTGTGGGCAGGTAATCAAACCTCCAGTCTTCTACATGTGGGACAGTGTTGTTATCCACTATGCTATCCATTTGTGTGAGTATTAATGACTACAAGTAAGCCTATCACAATTATTAATCACTTGATTGCAATTATTTAAGGTCATCACAATTATTTAAGATGACCACAGTTAATTTCCACAGTTGTTAGCTTTCTAAATTATTTATTTCCATCACAACAAACAATGTTAACTGGGTGCATTTTCATCCATTGGATAGATGTGAAAACATGTAAATAAAAGAAACAGGAAAGACACGTCATTGGTTGTACAAAGACCACAAAAGTTCTAACTTCTAGCTGACTGTAATGGACGAACATGGAAACAGGAAGCAAGTGCAAGTCTTTTTACTGATAAACTGTGAAGCTGAGGCAAGCAAGGTTGGGATATTCATATTAAACACACAATGGACTACTAGAACTAGAAAACAAATGGAAGTAGAAAATGTCTGAGAGCCAGACATGAAAGCAGCGATGTTTGGAAACCAGGAGAATAAACCAGAAACAACGAAAGAACAGAAACACAAGAAAGACGAGGGCCATCGGCTAGTTTGTACAAACAATGCTCAAAAAAGACTGAACATGCAAGAACATATAAAACAGACAAAACAAACCACAGCTGGAACAGATTACGAAGGGGAGGAGCTACATACAGATCTGGGTGGAGCAGGGAGGAGCAAGGAACCTAAAACAAAGGCACATGACGGGGAAATTAGACTGAAGAGAGACAAAAAGGGGGAAACCAACCAGGACGGACAAGGAAAATAAACAGGAACACATGGCTAGAAGAAAGAAATAGTGAAGGAAATCAAAATTTAGGCAGGGCAGGAATACAGTTATGCTGTAACACCTTTATGGGCGGTGGTGAGAAATGTTTGTTTATTTGAGCTTGAGTGGGGTCTTTTGTCAATAAAGATCTAGAAATTAATAACTGCATACACTAAACAAAAAAGACAAGTAAATTGTTGATCATATTTATTTATATGACAATTAATCAACAGCTAAATTCTCAAGAATGTGTGCAGGCTAAAAATATTAATTATCATGTAATTCCAAAAAGTTCAATAGCATAATAATTTCCAAATTTCTAACAGTATCACAATATTTGATTATTTCACTTTGCATTAACAATATTACAGAAACCATGCTTCCTGAGTACCTGTACAAACCTGACATAGCTTGTTCTGATTGGACGGTTCTGGTCTGTTCTGCTTTTCCTAAATGGATATTATGGGTAAAAATGCACAAAATAGAATTTAAACAACTGAAAACAAACAGGCGACAAGAATGCTGTGTGGCACTGATAACAGTACTTAGACGACACCTAGTACTATTTGGAATAATAATAACTCAATTTTTCATTTATTAATGAATAATATATCAGCTGTCAATATATTATGCACCCATAATCAGGCATGCATAATGGTAGCACCAGACACACTCTCCAATCTACATTCCCAAACTGCAGCGAAGAAGAACCGCTGTGGGCAACGTCCTCAATCAAAATGAATTCATATCTCAGAACACTGAAGCACTGCAGCCTCCCATGCAGGGGGTTGAACACACTATATTTCAGAATCCATGAAGGCATATCAATCATAGTTTAATAAACCTTCATATTCTGCACCGACAGCACTCCCGTTTATTATTTTCTGGGGCTGCTTTTTTCCGGATTTGCTGAAGTCAGACCATTAGGAGGTCTGAGGGCTGTTTGGTTGTTGCTGGTGATTACCTGTGCTAGTAGTTTGCTCGTTTCACCCCAGAGGATGAATGGGGACTGATGATGCCGCTACACACACCTATGCAGTAGCACTGAATGGCAGCTCCCTTGAAAGGAGGTGTAATGTTATTAAATCTATACTGTATGATGTTGCAGTGAGCCTTTCGCTTTTCAACCTCGTGTTGAGGGACTGATTTGAGTAAAAAAGATCATTCGCTTGCTCAGTTGTACATTTCACCCATCAGCCTATGAACCTACGAATGTGGCACAATCAGCTGAACTATAATTAAGGACGAACCACTTGATGAAATGGTTAATGTCATTATGCCGTGATCCCATTAACCTTATGCAATAAACCTTTAATTTTGGATTGAACTATCCCTTTAATGAGACAGGGGGCACCGACGCTGTGTGGTGTGAACCCCCGCCACCCGCTCCCCCCCGCGCTCTCTTTTGCAGTGCTGTCGGCCTGTGAGGATGTGTCATGGCCCGTTGCTTTACAAGAGCCACAACAGCATCTTTACAGCCAGTAATAGAGGTGGGTAATTGCAAATGTCTGTTTCTTAAGATAGACTGCTAAGCATGACAATGGCCAGGCTTTCAGTTCAGCCCGCCTATGCATAAAATCAGCTGAAGGCCCGTGAGGAACGGCAGCAGCTGGAGGATCAAATATGATATTTCCATTACAATATGCCATCATGACTCAGCGGCCTTGTTATTCAATGGAATAAAAAAGTGTGATGGTATTAAGTTTTAAAATGTTGTGACAAAGCTTCAGGTTTAAAGCTCAGGGTGCTAAACCATCCGTTTAGAATGTTCTGATATATCACCAAATAATAAAGGAAAATTGTGCACATTTCTTTATGTATCTAGAGACTAATGTCATCTGAGTTTGGTCTTTATAAGACAGAAACAAGGCAGGAATTAGCCAGATATGTACCATCTTGCTCACAGAGCACACACTGGATATACCTGAACTCTCTGTTTCCAGCAAACTCTGTTACGTGAAGTGAATTTAATGAATACGCGTCAACAAAAAAATGTGCCGCTTGGCGAATCGATCCGTTGACTGAGTGAAACTTTGTATTTGCACGATGTGCAAAAAACTTACAGACTACCACGCACATGTATTTCCCAGAGGATCCCAAACAGCCCCACTCCACATTCCCCAGTGAAATCATTAGCTCGGTGTTGCTCCACAGCCACTGATCGGGCCGTCTAAGCTGCACCACGTTTGGGGCTCAGCGCTCTTCCCCTGGCTGCTAATGAGGGTAGGAGGACAGACTGAGGAAGTGGTAATTGGATATTCCCTGTTCTGTCATCTGCGCTCCGACCATGTCCTTTTTATAGTTTTACGGCGAGTCACAGCTTCTGGTCTCTGGCAGCAGGAAGAAACCGCACATACGCCAACAGTAGCTGGTGAACCGCAGGGGTGGATGGAACAATATACTGTGTGTTAACCCCTTAAACTCTAAGAGCTCAGTGGAATAATTAGACTTCCGTTCATCACTCTCACAACTGTTATGATTAAATTAGTACATGTTGGGACTGCAATATATTACACCATTGTAATAGGCTAAAAACTAGATCTGTCAAATGACTAAAGTAATATCACATTATTTTGTGCAGTCAATGGAGGGTAACGACAGATGTCTTATTTACTCAAATTGGATCCTAAAGAAAGATATTTCCTATTTAAACAACAGATTATTCTGTTACACCTATATGGGTGGACAAAGCGGTCTAGCCTATCCCAGCAGTCACTGGGGGAAGGCAGGAAACACCCTAGACAGGTCGCCAGTCCATTGCAGGGCAGACACACAGACATACACACACACACCTAGGGGCAATTTAGCTCCATTTGGCCTGACTGCATGTCTTTGGACTGTGGGAGGAAACCCACACAGACACGGGGAGAACAGGCAAACTCCACACAGAAAGCACCCTGGTCACCCGGCTGGGAATCGAACCCAGCGCTACCCACTGCACCATCGTGCCGCCCATATCATATACAGTACTTTACAAAGTCTTAGACACCTAAGCAAATTATTTAAACCGTTTATCTTAACAATAAGTTCATTTTTGCTGGTAAAAACAGCATCTATCATTTATATCGCTAGTTTGAAGAAGAGCTTGGTTTCTGATCACTCCTGGACGGCCCCAGGCATCGCATAGATTGGTTAAATTCCATCATCAGCACACCTGATTTAACATAACGAAGGTCTGATTTTCCAAATGAGGTATTGGATGACAACTAGGCCTGAGCGGTAGAGCGAAGTAATTGCATGGAGAACTGAGAGCGAACTAGAGAGGAGTAATTTACTGTTAATCGGCTTGCTAAATATGTTGGGAAATTGTGGATCATGTTCCTTTAAGAAGTGTGCGGGTGTGCCCAAATAGTCAGTTTTTTTTCTGCTTTCAACAGAGAAAAAAAGAGAGAAAAAGAGAGAGAGAGAGAGAGAGAGAGAGAGAGAACGAGGGAGAGAGAGAGAGAGAGAGAGAGAGAGAGAGA